TATGACATGAATGAGATTATTTTGATAGTAAAAGAAATAATAACAAATCAGCACACATCACTTTGAGTGAGACTTTGAGTGATAGACAAAGAAAATATTCTAGTGTTAAGAATCTTTTTGGAGATGGTTCATATTATCAGCGAAAAAAAAAGTGTAAATTTGAAGTCGGACTTCCATAAATGGAATATGTATAAAAATATTTTGATTGAGCACAAAAACCTTTATGATTCCAGCAATAACAAAAATATCTTTTTTATTTTACCTGAACAACATAGGAAGATATACAGTTTGAGAGTGTACAAACGAAAAACGATATCTGAAAATGTACAACCAACATTTTTATGTTTTTTTTTTATTGTAGCCCAGAAGATTGCGACAAACATCGCCTAAACATTGGTAAATGAATTGTCTGTAAATGTCTAATCACTCAAATGAATCAGATACCATATAATAGATTGCTGTCAGGTGTGAGATTATTTATTACCTTATGGATATGTTTCATTCATATTTATTGAGTTTCTTATTCCGTGAGGTATATATTGAAAAGTAGATCAACGCTGGGAATAAGTATTTTATCTATCTATGATAATGATGATATTGAACTGATTTTTTTATGTGGGGCTCGCTGTATATCGCTTTTATTCGAGGCCTTCTGTACATTTTTCGTTTTGAAATGGACGACAGATATAAACGAGGAATATTTTTTCAATACCGGTAAAATATAAAATTTTCAACGAATATCTTTCAAAAATCTTTAGTATATATGTTTTCTATACTCCCTTACCTGAACAATAAGCAAATGTTCTTTGACGAATCTACTTTTTGCCAGTTTGGGTCTGATGGATGCATGGAAAGCTATTATTTGGGGACAGTGACGATCCCATCTGAAATTGTTTCGACCTATTTGCTTGATATCTGTTATCATCTCCAAATTGAAAGATTCTTCGATATCCTTACAAAGTTTAGCAGCATCACTGAAATGTAAAAAAACCCTACCTGAGAATTCAACAAATAACGTAGGTGTTTCTAGAAGATATATATCCATATACTCGTATATGCCCACTGTCGACCAAACAGATTGTTTTTGATATATCTCAAATGCCCATACAATGCATTTGCTAGTAAGACGAAAAAAAATTGAGATAAGAAATTTTTTTCAATTACAAATAATAAGCAGTTTCATTTTGTTTTTAAAATTTGCAGACGAAAACATTTAATGTCATAATTTTAGAAAAAATATACTCAGAATCAAATCCAGTTCATTCCAATAAATGTTAAAAATATTTCCGTTTCACTTTGTGACAATAATAAATTTCAAAATATTTTCCTTTCACTTCGTGTCAATAATGAAGTTTGTTTACAAATTAATTTTCTATATTTTGAAATGTTTCTGAGGTAATTTTGTTGCAAACACCTCTTTTCCCATCCACGATTCTAAAATGAAGTGCGGTTGTGTATTCTACACTTCAGACGTCACGTATTCCCTTAAGAAGGCAGTCTATTCCAGTGCTCATGATTAGTATAAGAGGTACTCTTATCGAAATTACTCCAGGAATATTCCATTAGGAAATAAAATCGTAAACAAACCTCAATATTCTCAAAAAGTAAATGGTGTACATTTTAAGCATTTATTGGAATGTACTGGATNGATACATCAAAAATATATTATATGTGTTTAAATAAGCAGAAAAAGAAATGATAGCAATAATAACATCCGAAACGAATACTATAATTGTAATGAAAATTGAAATGAAGTAATTTATATACATAAAAAAATTAATGGAGCAATAAATATTAGTAGTCCTTCCATTTGAGACAAATAATGGGCCAATAAGATGGCCTGCAAGATCACCAGATCTTACTAATTTGGACGATTTTCTATGGAATACATTGAAAAATAGGATTTACGCTGGCAGAGAAGAAAAAAATGTGGAAGACTCGAGATTGAGGATTTTGATTGATTTCACAACAATGCATCAAATAAGTGTATTAAGGGCAGTAAATAATATGATGAACCGAGTTCAAAAATGTATCGAAATGGAAGGACTCCAATGCGAACATTTATTGCGCCATTAATTTTTTTGTGTATATAAATTACTTCATTTCAATTTTCATTACAATTATAGTGTTCGTTTCGGATGTTATTAATGTTATCATTTCTTTTTTCGCTTATTAAAACACATTCCTACTAATATTTTAAATGCGAATGTAATGTTTGTTACTGTTTCACGCGAAAACTACTCAACCGATTATCATGAAATTTTATATACATGTTCTTGGAGGTATTAGAAGTAACATAGGAAACTTTTTATGTAAAAACAATTATGTGAGATAAAAAAATTTGAAATTATTTATTTTTGTTACACTGAAATATATTTTGACATTTTTTTCACGTATAGTCAGTGGGCATACTTGAAGACTGGCTATAAATCAAATCATCTAAAAGAACAATTCGTTCAGGCCAGTCTCAACACCCTTATATTGAATTCTGATATCGACCAATTCTCAAAAAAAAGAATATGAACATAACGGAATTACAAGAAAAAATGTGTTACATGAAAAAAAGAAGACATGACTTCAAGAGAATATGATCACACTGATCCCAAGGAATTCAACAAAATTGAAGCGATTTTATCCTGGATTGATAATAGTGAACTTGAATATTGTTATAGACGACACTGGAGAGCGCATAAAAATGATTAAAGGTATATTCCTTATCATAAAATGAATGCGAATTTTTGGAGCAAATAAATGAACACAATCTGCAATAATGATAAATTCAGGTAAATAGGACAAAAAATAAAGATGTCTAGAGTATGTGCTAAAAAAAGTGGTGAAGACATGGCAGGGAAGTATAATGAAATACTTAAGTGAAATATTAGGTTTCTTCACTACAATAATGAGGAATTGGTGAATTGGGCCCACAAACAAAAACATCAATATGTATAGGTTAACGATGAACAAAGAAGAAGGGAAGAAGTCGAAGGAGAAACGAACATGTGTATTCGGAAAACTTGATGGGAAATGATAGCAGCAGAAATAATCGAGATAAAAAACCAGTATTAGGCAATTATTTCAGGATGACAAACAAATAATATCAATTCGAAGATGATACTCAGTTTTGAAGAGGAAATAGGACCAGAATTTTATATTGATATTATTGAGTTTTGAACTGAATGAAGGAAAGAGACAGAAATGACACAAGATGGAGAGCATGAAATAACTAGGACAGAATTGGACTAAAAAGTTGCAAGAAAGAAAACAACCATAAGATGTACACTTTGAAATGAAAAAGTGAATGAGAAACAGAGAGAGATAGAGAGATGAATGCGAATTTCGAGTCGTCAGATATGAGACCAGGAGATATGAAGCATTAGGAGAGAAAAAGGGAAACAAGGAAAGGTAAAACAAGAATCCTTCAGTGATTAATCAAAATGATTTTTATAAAGAAATAAGTGAAATGGACCTCTTCAAGGAGCTGTGAGACTTTGAAGATGGTAAAGGGGCTCGATGATCTTCAGAATTTTGTCGGCGAGAATACAAATTTCTGGTAGGGCCTTGCTGGACGTTTCATGGATGTCACAATATCGTGTCACACCCTCGTGCTGAAGGGTAAAATGCATAAAGTACGTCCCGAGCGAAGACTGCTAGATATAGCGATCTATCAGGGTCTACAGCTTTACCACTAAAAGGGAGGGCTCTGCAGAGGTGGACTTTTTTCCCCTTGCTAGTCGTGGGATCAGAAAAAATGTTGATGTTGAATATGATACGAGTGAGGATGGTGCTGATGTATTCGAAAGAAGAGGTGTCATTGGTAGATCGCTCATTTGATTCAAGATCATGTCTGTATAATCACCGTTGTATCTAAAACATCACCAGCTGGTGATGTGATACTCGTGGAACAACAATGGGTATGCATCCTAAATCATATTGATGTGAGAGATGTTACGAGTGGAGACGCTACTGAAGTATTTGAAAAAAATATATATAATTTTCAGATCGCCCATAAAACTGAGTCACACAAGAACCTAACATCACCATCTACGTTTGTTTGAAATTCATCACCATCTAGTATTATCGTTCGAAGAGAAAACAGACATAAATGCATATGGAAAATGAGAAAGAGGCTTACATTCAGAACACTAGTCCAGGATATTGCAAAATCCGAAATCTAACAATCGTTAGATTACAGCAGGTATGATGAAGTTTGTCTGACAGGCATACTCTCAGGTCTCATATGAGTTACCATTTGAATAAACTGTCGAAAAAATCACGTGCCGTCTCCATTTGTAAGATGATGAAATAGCAATGTAGATACTCTATGCCTGACTAAATCTGATGTTTGGTGTGTGGCAGTTTTGAAATCTAACCTGGAATATCACTCACGAAATAAGCTGATCAGTTACACTAGGAAGCTTTCGAATAAAACATAAATGAACATAAAACAACAACTTATGGTTGTTTTCAAAATTATCATGAACAGTTACAAAAAAATTCCAAAATATTAAATAATCTCCTGCATCAAAATCTCTTACCACGAACAGAAAGAGCAAATGTTTCAGAATCACTGAGATTTCCACAAACAAATCATCTTGTTCTCCAAAATTAAAAAAAATATGAGTAGATTTTTCAAAAATTTTCTATAATAGATATAGAAACTCAGATAATGTTATATCGGAACTGTATAGAAACTCCATAGTTACCGTATATTTATGGTATTTCATTCTGAATAACAGACTTGTTACTATCTTTTAGTATAACCAGAAGTCATAGTAAGTTGAAAATATTTTACACGATTGAAAAAATCAGTTTCTTTTTATTGAGATTTCAAACCGAAGTTTGTTCAATTAGCCCTGGTCAAGAATCACCTTGCATATATAAAGTTTTATAAGTATAATAAATGTAACTTGAAAGTGTGTGTGAAGTTTTCAGTTGGTTCAGAATTTGTGTGAATTTTAAAGAGCACTGTCGTTACGTTTGATTCTCAAAAATTATTTTACCTTTTACCTGCACTGAAAGCCATCAATTTTCGTATTTTCTCATTGTGGGAGAGTATTGTTGCCAAATAAGCAGTAGTTCTTGGAGAGTTGACATGGGTTTGGATGACACTACCAGTTAGTTCTAAATCTTCGATCAATTTTCCGAAAGTGGCCGGACCAAGGCAGAATGATTTGTCCTAAAATATCATTAAATTTTGATAGGTAGAATTCCAGGTTTTTCATTATTATAGGTATAATCAAAAAATATATTGGATTCGGGAAAAAGACCAGAAGTAATTTCTGAAGCATCTTTTGAACTCAATTATATCGAAACATAAATATTTATGGGCAAATTCAATTATTTTCGTTTCTTCATTTGAAAATCTCCAGGAGACGCCAATTGACCTTGGGTAGTTTTACATGCATTACAATCCTCGACATTATTATGTGGATATCCTCAGCACTGTTATTAGATAAAGTATGAATCCCTGATTCGACATACGCAATTATATCCTCGTGGGATACCTTGGCTGGAGCTATGGTGAAGTTTCCACCTTTGGCGAGTATGCCAATCTTGTCTTCTGAAAGTGTCTGATCGGAGAGGTCAACCACTGTTTTTATGTTACACTATGGTGGAGGATTTTTTTGGCTCTCACTCAGACTCTCGTATATTCTGTATGTCTTTTCGTAACGGCTAATTATGTGGTTTCCACCCTTCGTGACAGTCAATTTAGTCAAAATCATTCCAATGTATCGAATTACCACGTTTTACAGTTAGGTGCATCAGTTCCATGTCGAAGAGGGCTACATCCTGTCTGTTCTGAAGGATCCTTTCTCGCAATAAAGCTTTCTCGACCCGTTTATAGATTCTATATTCTATCATCATGTCTTGAAATTCTATTATATCCAAAGGCATTTAGGGACCACACCGGTGTCGCGACACTGCAATAGAAATGTCACTGAACACTGCGTGTTTATTTTCTTCTTGCGACCCAGCAAAGTGAACGCCTAAATAACCCCAGCTAGGTCCGTTAAGGTACAAGCTCTTATCTCCCAAGTTGAAAATGTCACAGACTCAATTGGAAGAATTCGAGACAAACACGACGTGAAACCAATATTCAGCTCAGCGAGAGAGAGACCGTCGACAGCGAGAGTCGAAGGTCAGCTAAGGACCCAAGAGAGCCTTCAGCAACACCCGGGGTATACCGAATCCCTTGTAGCCGCGGGTCAGTCTACATTAGAACTACGGAAAGAAGTATAGGTACCGGTCTCTCCGAACACAAGAGAAATGGTTGCAGCGGGCAAACATAAATCAGCTGTAGCCGAACATGGAGAAATGGAAGAAGAGGCGAAATGAACATTAATAAAACATGACTACCTGTCTTTCATTGAACACAAATAAGATCACCTAATCCAATCAAGAGAAAAGACGACACGCCCACCAATGATCGCTTTGATAATGCCTACCGCAGTAGTAGACAAAACATCAGACAAGAAAACCAACATACCCCGGAACCCTGAAAATAACTTTGACACACTTAAAGAGTTGATAAAATAAGTCTGTCAACAAGTTATTTTGCATATGACGAAAACTTCTGCATGTAGATCTTAGACACGCCTATAGGAATTTCAATTTCCGCTTCACTCACGCTGGGCTATATTTTTAGAGATTCGATGAAAAAATTGAGTTCGTATTTCGTTTCTATAGGGTTTCGCAGACGATACTATAATCAGAAAAAAAAAGAATACTCAGTCAGTAATTTCAATAGTATACGAAATTACTGACTGTACGAGTACATGACAATCTTATGTTCACTATGGCCATTAATGAAAGTAAAACCATTCCATTTCTTGATATAACTTTTATCAGGAAATGTGATAAAATCATTACAGATTTGTGTGTATGTGAAAAACCAAGGGCTTGAGAAAGATTTTTCAGTTTCAATTGGAATCATCCTATACATCGGAAGATCAATATCATCAAACAAAATCGTGACAAAGTACCTAAATAAACTCACTGATAAAAAGTTCCACCTGAAAAATGTTAATAAACTGAGACATACAGTGTGTCCTAGCTGAAACTTTTCACCCCCCTAATCTGCGAACTCGCAGAACACTAGGTGTTCCCATCCACAGGAGGTACCAAAAGGATTTGACGATTGGGGTTGTCTTGAGATTCGCTGTTAGCGGATTCACTGGGTGTTCCAAATTTACGCGACTCTCAAGACGGGTTTTTGGGTATGTTTTTTTCTTTGTTGCGTTTCGTGGTGCTTCCCTTGGTTGTGAAGGATGACATCTTATTTCATAAAAATGCTACTCTACTGCGGATCAGTAACGGCTCGCGACTTACACGTGTTTCTTCACCATTGAAGAGACCGTCCTTCCATTTGGGTTGCTTTGAGTTTTTGTTTCCGGAAATCTGGGGATCACCGTCGTAGGAGTTCTCTGGTGCCACTTTTGGATTTCTACATTTTGGAAATCCGTACAACTGCGTAACTTGTTATATTTGAGTTCTTCAAATATAGTTTCAGGAAAATACTTTATAATCACTATTTTCATTAAAAAATACTGAGATACAGTAAAATCTAGTCGAGTTGAAACAATTATTCGACCAAATGAATGAAGAAACTCTTGCGTATCCTGATTTTATGACTCTTACCCATTTGGAACTTTTTGACAGTAGAAGAAATAATAACAAATCAGCACACATCACTTTGAGTGAGACTTTGAGTGATAGACAAAGAAAATATTCTAGTGTTAAGAATCTTTTTGGAGATGGTTCATATTATCAGCAAAAAAAAAGTGTAAATTTGAAGTCGGACTTCCATGAATTGAATATGTATAAAAATATTTTGATTGAGCACAAAAACCTTTATGATTCCAGCAATAACAAAAATATCTTTTTTATTTTACCTGAACAACATAGGAAGATATACAGTTTGAGAGTGTACAAACGAAAAACGATATCTGAAAATGTACAACCAACATTTTTATGTTTTTTTTTTATTGTAGCCCAGAAGATTGCGACAAACATCGCCTAAACATTGGTAAATGAATTGTCTGTAAATGTCTAATCACTCAAATGAATCAGATACCATATAATAGATTGCTGTCAGGTGTGAGATTATTTATTACCTTATGGATATGTTTCATTCATATTTATTGAGTTTCTTATTCCGTGAGGTATATATTGAAAAGTAGATCAACGCTGGGAATAAGTATTTTATCTATCTATGATAATGATGATATTGAACTGATTTTTTTATGTGGGGCTCGCTGTATATCGCTTTTATTCGAGGCCTTCTGTACATTTTTCGTTTTGAAATGGACGACAGATATAAACGAGGAATATTTTTTCAATACCGGTAAAATATAAAATTTTCAACGAATATCTTTCAAAAATCTTTAGTATATATGTTTTCTATACTCCCTTACCTGAACAATAAGCAAATGTTCTTTGACGAATCTACTTTTTGCCAGTTTGGGTCTGATGGATGCATGGAAAGCTATTATTTGGGGACAGTGACGATCCCATCTGAAATTGTTTCGACCTATTTGCTTGATATCTGTTATCATCTCCAAATTGAAAGATTCTTCGATATCCTTACAAAGTTTAGCAGCATCACTGAAATGTAAAAAAACCCTACCTGAGAATTCAACAAATAACGTAGGTGTTTCTAGAAGATATATATCCATATACTCGTATATGCCCACTGTCGACCAAACAGATTGTTTTTGATATATCTCAAATGCCCATACAATGTATGACAAGAATTTGGCGCAGCCAATATGTAGATCCGATTTTTATCACAAGAATATTGTGCCAACGTGTGATGGCGGATTTTCATTATGAGAAATTAGCGCTGGTAAACTGTGAACAGATTTTTAAAGAAGTTCAATTGTTCCTCATTCGTTTCTTGATCGAGAGCAAAAAAGCGATGCATGTGCCTAGTTGGGATAACTAGCTCTTGATTTGTGGGGGCAATGGCGTAGGTCGGTTCTTGATTCTTCACAGGAATTCAATTGTGAGTGCTGAAAAGGGTTACCAAATGAATTTTTCTTATGGATGATTCTCAAAAATAATTTTACTTAAATCACCATAACGTGTTCTCTATTTGAAGCCAGGCACAGAGAAGACCCTTTCAAAATTTCATCCACACATTGAATCGGTATCGGTTCATAGTTCAGGCAATGCTACCACCTATTATATCCACCACTTCATACATAGAAAGCCCACTGATTCCAAGTATGATAACCAAAATTAGGTATATCTTTCTGTATCTCACTCTATGTCAATCACTATGAAAAACAACTATATGATTGAACAAAAGAAGAAGAGTGCTAGTTGACTTCTATTTGTATATCTAACCGTAAAATGAATAAAAAATAAACAAAATGAATGATATATAAATAATAGGTGTCAGCATTCTGATTTACTCTGCAGTGGACTGCTCTGGAGAATCCCAGATTTGTGAAAATAGGAATTTTCAATAACTGGTATGTTACAATCTACAATTCAGAATAAGCAAAAGGGTTTCTTTGTGTTCAGATCGTCGTGTTCAGGTCGCAAATAGCATAAATGAAAGTGGAAAAATAAAATATTGAAGTATAATTCACTTCAGATGCTAGGGATGACTTAGTCGAAGACTGCGTGATTTCCATCGAGGCAAGGTGGCCTATAGAACTCGTCTGCTATAAACTTTTGCAGTTTTTTGAATTCTTATATCAACTCCAGAAAATATTTATGTCTTAAGTTTCTGTCCTTATGATCCTTTTTGGAAAGCGAACAAAATTTTCAAACACACTCGTTAACATCTATATTCCGGAACCGAAAGATATCCAGGTAGCTGTAGTTGCCTAGGAAGACATGCTAACATTCTAGGTCTTTCAACTGAAGCCAAAAATGTGCGTATAGCCCCTGTTGGTGATTTCGTGCATATGTGATTTTGGTATGTTGGCTGCAAAATCATCGATGGTTCAATGAGGATTCCTTCAGCAAGGTCGTACAGTGAAGTGCAAATTCCTGATTCTACATTCGCAATGTTAACCTAGTGGGGTAATTCAGCTGGAGTTATATCGAAGTTTCCATCTCTGTTAAGTATGCTGGACTCGTTTTCCGTTAGTGTTTAATCAGGGTTTACAATCTGTATTTTCTATTATATATGCAGACTCCGGAACTTTTTTTCTGTCATTTGACTTTAGTTAACATTGTGATGCAATAGTTCCAATGCAATTTTCTTGTTAGATGACAAGGATTATCAACTCCTTGCCACAGGGGGCACTCAAGTGCTTGACGGAACTAAAAGTTCCTATATGTGATCAAATAAAGATGCAAAGAAATTCAAAATCTCAGAGACATTTCCAACCGCTACGCTTTCCTTGAGAATCAATAGAAAGGAATGTGTACTGTCCACAAGACAGAGGAAGCCATTTCCGGGGTCGGGCTATGGAGCCACTCAGTCGTCCGGCTGAAAGCGCCCACTCATTGCTAAACGGGCTCGGAGGGAAATACATCACCGATAAACCTACTTCTGATTCCCTTTTCGACTACGAAAACGTAGACAGGATCAAAATGGACATAGAGCTGGGGAAGTGTGACAGTTACTCTGCAGGGGGCAGAATGAAGCATCATAGTGTGGGGACGGAATGCAGCCCTGCAGGACGGCTGAAGCGGCAACCGCCTAGGTAGACACGACAACTTTGATACAGCCTCCAATCATACTGGTGGAGGCCGACATTCACCCTGAACCACCACCACTCCCACCAACACCACCACTAATATCGGAAGGTGAATGCACTGACTAACAATGTCTGGACATGGAGATCATCGATACTCCAGAATAGATTGATATAACTGAGACCACACCAATTGTACTACCTGAAACTGCTCTGAAATAACGAAGCGAAATTAATACAATCAGCATAATTGAACAACAAGAAATCACTAATGGAAAGCTCAATCCTGTGGTGGAGCTGAGTATCGAGGAAAATGAGGGGTACATATTAACGAGCTAGCTGAAATGATAGCTACAATGAAAGCGTGGGCGCATAAAACCACGCTAGCAAATGAAGAAAAAATCTCAGAAGAAGTAATGAGGAAAAAACTGAAGCTCTTTCCTAAGAGGAATATAGAAACAAGAAAAATGAATAAATCATCCAGTGGAGGGGAGGCTGGCCCAACTCTAAGAAAAAGGAGGAGAACGAGAAGACCTCCAGAATCTCCTAGTACCTCACCCGTAAAGGTCGACTGTCTAACCAATCAGGAAAACCATTACAAATCGTACTACAATATACAGAACAGGATCGAAACTTTTAGAAATGATACCAGGAAATGAACAGTAAGGTAAGCACTTACTATAACGCTAAAATAGATTTTGATCCCATCCTGAAGGACTTTTCCCCTACCATCATGAGGGAAAGCTAGATGGAAGCGGTAAGGAAATATAACCACACCCTCTTCATTTCGGAGGCCAGAATAAAAATTCACAAGCTAGAGAAGACGACGACATCACTCTAATCTCTAGAGAAGACCAAGGCAGGCGAGGCTCTCACACCAAGCGCCAAGAGGATAACAATAACAACTATAACAAGACGAAGAACGTGTCAGGAAAATGAAATTTTCCCTTTTTTCCCCCTAAACCTTTAGAAGACGGATTTATGACTCCCCAGCTGGGTTGCAAAGAAAGCCAAGCCCGCAGGGAAACCAACGCCACCTATAAAAAACAGGTATCAGTCATTAAGCGAATCTGAATCTGAGTGAGACACACCAGTAACAACAAGGAAGCCAGGAAGGCCGTAAACGAGAATCCTTTCTCCAATTGTTGTAAAGGATACAATCCCTATGAACAGAAACTTCAAAACAAACCTGAAAAAACAATTGGAGGAAGAAATCTCAGTGAAATACACTGCGAAGTCTACCTTAATATGAACGAAGTCGTGCAATGGATATTTCTCAATTGTGAATATAATTAAAAGCGCGAACGCGGAACTTCACACATATACCCTTCCGGAGGATAGAACGCACACTTTTGTTCTCCGAGGGCTAGATTTTGCACCCAAGTTACAGGAAATTGAAGAGGACCTCCGTGCAGAGCGAAGGCTCAATGTGTCTGCAGTGTATATACTTAGGACCGTTCACTATACCTGGCCGTGACGAACAAAGAGGTGACACAAAATTTATTGAAACAAAACGTCTCATCTCTCCTTTTCACAAGGATAAGATGGGAAATTCAAAATGATAGTCGATTGTTGGTGCAGTGCCGCAGTTGCCACCAACAACTGCTTCAAAGCCCCAAAGTGCTTGAAATTCGCCAAGGGGCATGAAAACTACTTTTGTAAAAGGCCAAAGACAGAGCCAAACAAATGTGCCAATTGCGGCGACCACCCTGCCAACTCCAGGGAGTGTTCAGTCTACCGAGAGAAGGCGGAGGGGGTCGAAGCCAAATAGAGAGCCAGGCAACCTGCGCTCAACACCGAAATGGGTACCGGCTCCAGTCACAAAAGACAAACCTTGGGACTGAAGGAAACCACTGCCGGCCCCGGGCTCACTCCCGCTGCCTCCACCACCATTAATGCAGGAAGAGCGAGCGAGGTGATTCACGATCGGGATTCAACAGAGTATTATGGAGGCAACTAATTATTTCCGCAGGCTCAGCGAAATGGTCAACTTGGCCAAGATCATTCGTGTATCAAATGATCTCTGTAACTTGATGGCGGGTGCCTCTAACCCGCTGGAAAAGTGAAACGCATTAGCGACGTTCGCGAGCGGTATCAACGATTACAACTTTTTGATGCCAATAAAGGCGTGCATGCTAAATGTGAATGGAATTAGCAGCATTGTGTTGACATAATATTTCTAAACGAAAAGAGGCTTCGACGGGGACATAAACTGAAGCTTCGAGGTTTATCATTGTCCGGGGGGATCGCCCTGGAGCTGTGAGTGGCGGTGGGGTTTCGCACACTCGCAGATACCTTAGCAATGGAGCAGTATTGCGCATGCAGGCATCAAGCTTGCTGATGGTACCTTGGGTGTTTGCGATATATAACAAGCCGGAGAGACACTTCACTCCGCATGATTTGGTCAATTTGCTGAGTGTTGCTCAACGCTATGAGGTGTGAGTGGAACTGTTACAATCAGCAGAACGCCAACTGGAGGACTCTGTTAGAGAATTCCCTGAATAACAACATTGTCATAGAACAGCCGGATGAGCCGATTCATTATCTAATGAAATGGTGCGACACCCTCCTACTACACCCTCTAATATCGACCTTGTATTGAAAAAGAATGTCTGAGATCTACATGAATTGACCACCGTGGACGAACTGAGCTCTGACCACTGTCCCGTGCTCTTTAGTTCGAATAGATCAAATCCGGATGAGTCGACTCATTGTCCATGGAATGGTGCGACACCCTCCATACTATCGACCTTGTATTGAATAAGAATGTCCGAGATCTAGATGAATTGACCACCTTGGACGAACTCAGCTGTGACCACTGTCCGGTGCTCTTTAGTTTGAACAGATCAAGACCGAATACTAAATAGTATAAGTTCGAATTCAAGAGCACAGACTGGGCAGAGTTTAAGGTGTCCACTAACAGACTTGTAACCATCTAAAACAATTTTG